TCTTTACAGAGTAGGTGATAAATTTTTTTCTCTCTCTGGTGCTAGAAACTAGGAAACAATCAGAGCAAACACTACGATCAAAGAAAAAAACAGATTTTTCTTTGCATATATTTTAAGACCCTTATGTTACAAGCAGCTGGAGCAATCTCAACAGTCTCCCTCCTCCCCAATAATCATTTCTACATTTTCCATGATAATGAACTCACTTGTGTGCCCTTTTCTATTGCCTGATTGAGACAATTGTAAAAGACTCCATGAAAAATGAGCTAGTTGGCTATGATACTGTTCATAGTTTTTCTCGTTTTTAGAAATGAATACAATGGCTGGGCGTTGGTGGCACATGCCTTTAATCCCAGCACTCAGGAGGCAGAGGCAGGCGGATCTCTGTGAGTTCGAGGCCAGCCTGATATCCAGAGCGAGTGCCAGGATAGGCTCCAAAGCTATACAGAGAAACTCTGTCTTGAAAAACAAACAAACAAACATACAAACAAACAAACAAAAACAGAAAGAAAGAAAGAAATGAATACATTGAAGCAGTAGGCCTGTCAAAGTTAAGGGTCCCAAAGATATGTCAGTCTATCCCACCTGATGGATATTCCAGCAATATCCAATGTGAGCTTCAGTCAAGCCAACCTTATTATCAAAAATCAAGACACAAGGGCTGGAGATATAGCTCAGCAGTTGAGAGCACCAGCTGCTCTTGCAGAAGAGGAAAGTTTGAGCACTTGTGTAACACTTCACAATCACCTGTAACTCCAGCTCCAGGGCATTTAACATCCTCTACAGACACTGCATGCACATGGTGCACAGACATCCGTGCAAGCAAAACAGTCATATACCTAAAACAGTTTAAAAATCAATCAGGCCACAGCAACATGCATGCTGCTTCATCAGCATTAAGAGAATGTTTATTGAATATTCGCCTAGGATGTTCATGCTGCTGCCCCAGCACACAGCGGTTAGGAGGAGAATGGCAACCTCTCATTCTTGATGCATTTGAGACAAGGACTGATTCCTCCATGTTATGATTAGAATGTAGAGTAGGACCATGGAGGGGGAGAGGAGACAAAACATACATGACTGAGAAAGATGGGGGGATATTTTATATGACACAAGTAGTAGGGTGTCCTTCTGAAACTGGGGCTTTATCAGGTTTGCATGGTATTGTGGTTTGAATGAGAATGTCCCCCACAGGTTCAAGTATTTGAACATTTGGTTGTCAGTAGGTGGCACACTGTTTGGAACCTGGGGGGGGGTACAGTCTTGATAGAAGACAAATGTCACTGGGGACCAGCTTTGAGGGTTTATAGTCTCACTCCGCATCTAGTTTGCTCTCTCTGCCTCAATTTTATAGTTAAAGATGTGAGCTCACAGCTTCCTACTCCTGTTACCATGACTACCACCTGTTGCCATGCCCCCCAGCCATGGTGGACCTTTATCCCTCTGAAACCATAAGTCACATAGACTCTTTTCACCCATAATTAACTAGTTTTGTCAGTGTTTTATTGCAGCAAGAAAAAGTAGCTACTATGTATGGTGACCCCTTCCTCCCCACTCCCCCCACCACGGGAAAAACAATATGATGTTGTCTGCTTGTATCTTGTTTTTCCCCTCAAGACCTTCCATCACCCACTAGCACAGAGCCTTTTACTGCACTTGTCCAAGAGAGCCCCTTGTGAACTCCAGTCTCACCATAGATTTTGCAGGGGACACACACATTCTGACCATCGCAGTGCTGGTATTTTGAAAGGAGTTTTTTCCTGTGGATAAGACAAGCATCTTGACAGGAGGCCACCTCCCCAGTGCATTATGAGACACCTTATGGAAGGAGGACCAAGGGACAGCCAGCCAGTAGAGACAATGGCCATATACCAGGTGGAGCCAGGGGAAGGGCAACCCCAGAAGGAGGAATGTTGACAGCCACCAACAGCAAGGAGCCAATAGAGAAGCCCAGAGAATGGTTCTCAACCTGTGGGTCTTGCATACCAGATATTCACATTACAGTTCATAACATTACAGTTATAAAGTAGAAACAAAATGATTTTATGGTTGGGGTTCACCAAAACATGAGGAACTGTATTAAAGGAAGGTGGGGAAGCACTGTCCTAGAATGTCTAAGGGGGTGCTGCCCAGGTGACACTCTGACTTCCAAACTTTATTCTTTTTTTTTTTTTAAGATTTTATTTATTTATTATGTATACAGCATTCTGCTTCCATGTATATCTGAACACCAGAAGAGGGCACCAGATCTCATAACGGATTGTTGTGAGCCACTACGTGGTTGCTGGGAATTGAACTCAGGACCTCTAGAAGAGCAGCCAGTGCTCTTAACCTCTGAGCCATCTCTCCAGCCCCCCAAACTTTATTCTTTAGAACCCCGAAGAAGGCCTCTCTACTGCTGAAAGGGTCCAAGGCAAGCTATCGATAGAAAATAGCTCAGGTGTTTGGTTGGTTTGTCTGTTTTGATTTGATTTTTGAAACAGGGTCTTACTTTATATCCCCGGCTGGCTTAGAACTCACTCTATAGACCAGACTGGCCTCAAACTCATAGAACTTTGCCTGTATCTGCCTCCATGTTGCAGGGCATTAAAGGTGTGTACCATTTTAGCCAGCTTCAATCCTTCTTTTAAAAACACAGTTTTAAACCAGGAGGTAGTGGTGCATACTTTTAATCTCAGCACTTGAGAGGCAAAGACAGGCAAATCTCTGAGTTCGAAGCCAGACTGGTCTACAGAGTGAGTTCCAGGATGGCCAGGGCTACACAAAGAAATCCTGTACTGAAAAACTAAACCAAATCAACCAAGTAAACAACAACAACAACAAAAAATAACACATGCCTTTAATCCCAGCACTTGATGCAGAGGCAGGCAGATCTCTGAGTTTGAGGCCTGTCTGATCTACAGAGTGAGTTCCAGGACAGAAGCAATGCATAGTGAGACCCCATCTCAAAAAAACAACCCAAAACAAAAACCAGGTATCTCGGAAAGTTACCTAAGCTGCCCTTGAATTTTCCATCCCCCTGCTTCAGCAGCTTGATCAGCAGATGGGTTTATAAGTGTGTGTCACCATACTAGGCTTGCACCAATTTAGGTCATATCAACTTTCTTCTGTGGATTTATAGATTTAGACTATGATGACAGAGGTGACTTTAAACCTCCTCTCACATTTTTTCTCTGGTAAACAAGCTTTGATTTGTTTGTCAAAGTGTGTGTCCTAGGGAGGGCAGCATTTCCCAGCTTCCTTGTATCCTCAAAGCACCCATGTAGTCACTAAGAGAACACTATCAAGGATCCTGTGGATTTTCAGGAATAAGCTTTAAAAATGAAACGCAGTATCCTGACAGCATCATTTTTTTCCTTCCCTCCCTCCCTTCCTTCCTTCCTGTTGCCTGCAATATGAATGTGATGGATGGTTGATCTCCAGATTCAAAGATAAATTCTGGGAGGCTGAGGTCCTGAGTTCAAGTCCCAGAACCCACATCAGACAATTCACAACCACTTGTGACTTCAGCTCTATAGGATTTGAGGCCTCTTCTGGCTTCCACAGGCCCGCGAGCGCGCGCACACACACACACACACACACACACACACACACACACACACACACACACACACAAATTTTTTTGAAAAGGAAAGTTAGAAAAAGCAAGACCTTGTCTGAGGAGAGAGAATAATCCAGTAATTCTATAATAAATAAATACGAAACTTTCCCTTTCTCCCTTCCTGTGGAGAGGCAGGACAATTGGTCCCACTGTCCCCCTGCAAGGCAGGCTTTGTTCATTGGCAAATCAGAAGCCAGTGTGTTGCAGAGCTGGGCTGGGAGAATACCACATAAGGCTTCCAGGCATCTACTACCTTTTCCCCTTTTAAGCTGTTAGGGGGTTATGGAGGGTGGGAAGAAGTTGATTTCAGGGGTTATTAACTTTAAAATATTGGTTCTGTAATACTGCTCAGCTTTAATTATTGCTCGTCTTTGTGAAATACCGTGGATTCTCCCAAAAATGATGTTGTCAGAGGGTTCTGTCTCTCCCCACCCTTTCTGCTTCCTGCTCAGGTGCACTTAGTGCAAGAGGCTCTCAGCCCTGGGCTGCCCACAAACCTAGCCTAGCTTCACATAATAGTCCTCAAAAAGCTGCCTTTAGGGTCTGGGGATGTGACTCAGTGCAGAGAATAATCCGCTAGCAAGTAAGAAATCCTGAACTGCTGGAGGCCGACTTTCCCTTCTTCCTCAGAACCTTGTGACATCAATCCTCTCGCCTCAGTCTCGGTATTGCTAAAACTGTAAACCTGCACCCCCGAACCTGGCTCCCCAAGTTGCCTTCCCTGTTATAATTCTGTCCTCCATCTCTTCTGCCGGAAGTTCACTGAACTTTAGTTCAGAGATGCCAGGGTCTAAAAAAAGGATGAACTGCCTACCCTATGCCCTAAGGCTTCAGAATTCAGGGCATCCTGGGGTCCAAGGTCCCCTCAAATATAAGGTTGTGCAGAGTGAGGCTAGAACCCCCTCTCCGCATGTGGGCTTGCACCCCACATCTCACCTGGTCCTGGGGGAGGCAGTATCAGTCTTCTAGCCAGCATGTTGCATGTGGGAGCCCACTCACGGCTACCATGGGAGGAGAAACAGGGCCACCTGTGTTCTGGGTCCCTGGAACCATGGACACCCCTCCCCTTCCTGAGCTCGTGGATCCCTGACACCAGGGTTCGTGACCCCTCCCCACCCGCTAGTCTCCTCTGGTCCTCTCTATCCCTCTTCTCCTCCCCTCCCCTGCTGTTCCCTCCCCTCCTTCCCTCCCTCCTCTCCTCCCCTTCCCCCTCATCCCCTCTCCTTTCCTCCCTTCCCTGCCCCTCCTTTCCCTTCCCTATCCTATCTTTCCCCCTTTCCTTCCCTTTTCCCCTCCCTGCTCCTGAACCTGCAGCTCCGCCTGGGAGCGGAGGGAGGGACTGAGTCCTTTTGGACTCCAGGCCCTGGGGCCTGGAGGCTCAATCCTTGGCGGTAGCGACATGCGGCTCCTGTTCCTGGCGGTGCTACGGCCACACACTGGCAACGCGGTCACGGCCGAGCGCCTGCGGTATGTTGCGGGCCTGAGCATCCCTGGTCTGGGGATGCTGGGCTGGGCTGGGCGCCGGAGCCGCGCGTGCACAAACGGCTGGGCCATGGGCGCAGGTGCCGCGCGAAGGGGCTCCCTCTTTGATCCCAGCTGCGGCTACCCTGTCTGTCTGTTGTGAGTGCCCTAGGGTGCGACAAAGGGGCAGCCTGGGCCAGCGCTGGCAGGGTTGGAGTGGGGGAGGAGGGACTCAGGCTCTGCAAAGGCCTCAATACTGACAGAGGTGGGGTTTGGGCAGAGTGGCCTGGGATGCGAAGGGGGGCCCACGTGGCTGGAGAAAGGCACAGAGTCCCGGTGAACCACAGACCTGCATAGCTGAGAAGGGCAGAGAGTCCTGGTGGATAGTCCAGCACGTTCAGGGATTCAGGGTCCGCGTTCTGTAGCTGCTGTTCCCTGCCCGCATCTGAACGCTAAGCTTATCTTGTTAGGTGTTTTGCTTTGTGTGTTTACCTGGGACGGAAGCCTGAGCCAGACAAGGCAGGGAAGGCGGGTCCATTCTCCTTGCCTGGATCAAGCTGGGCTGGACTCTTTCAGTGGAAGGCAGATGCTTGCAAGGCCCATTCGCCCTAGAAGTTAGCTTGCTCCCCATTCCTCTATCGCCCCCTCCCACCTCCACTTGTTTCAGGAAATCTCTCAATGGCTTTCCCCTCTGTGGGTCTGTTTCCTTATCATGGGGAAGAGCCTTTGAGGCTACTCCAGGCCTCACAGGTCACTTTCAGCTAGGAAATGTTACAGTTCCTCTCAAGATCGCAGTGAATAACCAGTGGAGGGTGGATGCTCTTCTGAAGTTTCTTGGGGAAAAGACGGAGTTTTTGTTTTG